AAATTAGAAAGTACACATGGCAACAATTCAGAATGAGTTACTCAAAGAGCAGAATCAGACACACAGACTGCAGAAATTGGAATTATTACACTAGATATGTTTAATATATTTAAAGAAAGAGAATATCAAACTGTGAGGAAGTAACAAGAGAATAATATTTGCAAAAAGAACTTCTAGATATGAGAAACAGATTAAAGGACAAAATTACTAATCATCTTACTATTACATATGTAAGACCTTTATTATAAAATTATTAATAGACATGAAACTATTAATAGACATAAGAGAAGACACATTAAAGGCCAATACAAACGAGGAGATACCATAAAAAATCATAGATGGAAAGACTGCTGTAAAAGCTACAGTAATTAAGAGCATGATTTTGGCTCAAGGATGTTGAACTGACTAAAAGAACAGGATATAGATCAGAAATACATGAAAATCTGATATAGAGGGGAAAGGATGAGCTAAATTGGTTTTCCTGATTCCAGTCTTTCCCTCCAAACCATTCTCCATATTGCCACCCGAATGAGCTTTCTAAAGCACAGAACTGGTTGGGTTAATTCTCCACCAAATGTATTCAATAATTCTACTATGTACTATAGCTTTCTCCCATGTGTGTATTAATAGGTTACATAAATTGGGAGAAATGTTGGACTAAATAAATTTAAATATCATTTTTTTACAGCAAGACTTCTCAAAGATGTTGATATTCTAATAAGGACTGTGAACCTCTAAATGGGGGATAGCACATCTGGCTGATTTCCCCAAACTTGTCAGGCCAAAGCATTTTTTTTTTAAATAGTTGCTTGATGAACTAGTGTTTCTTGGAACATACACTGGAAATCAAAATAGTTATTTCAACTGACATAGCATACAAAGCAATGTGAGAGGCAGATTGATTGCTTTTATACTGTAATAGTTTAGGGCAGGGAAGACCTAGAGGATCCTGGCTTCTCCACCTTTGGTCAAGTACTTTTAACTTCTTCGTGATTCAGTTTCCAGATTTGTAAAACAAGAACACATTCTATATGTGTATAATGTTTTATATATTTAATAACTCCTGTCATAGGATTGCTGAGATTACATGAGCCACTAATAACAAAATACTGTATTTTTCCAGCTTCTCCCTACCCCTTAAAACTGGAGCTGCAGTTAGAATGACTCATTCATACAAGTCCAAGACTTACTGGTACTTTTACTATTGCCTAGGATGACTTGCCCCGTTTCCTATATATTCAGTCCTATTTTTAAAAACCAGCTCAAAAGAAAACCTCTTTGAAGAAGTTTCCTTAATCCAAACCCCTGAAAAGAGAATCCATGCTTTTCTTCATTTTGTGTCCATAGTACTCTCTATCACACCATTACAGCTTTCATTACATTGTATCACAAGTTATTCGCTTCCCATTTCTCGTTAGAATAAATCAGCAGTGTGGGCAATATTTAATTCATAGTTTTGAATGAATTGGGGATTTTAAAAGTAGTTTTAAAAATTACAAAAGATATCAATTTAAATGGCAAGTTGGATTTAGAGAAAATAATGAGACAACAATAAAGATACTGAGTGGGCTGGCCGAGTGGCGCATTGGTTAAGAGTTGGCTTGGTATGCCAGCTCTGAGCCGCAGGACCCCGGTTCGAATCCCACATTAGGGCCAGTGACGCTGTGCACTCTACAGCTAAGATAGTGAACAACAGCTGGACCTGGAGCTGGGCTGCCATGAGTCGCCGATGGCGTAGGCTGCAGGAGCTGCAGTGGGCTGCCATAAGCTACTGTGAGTGGCCGGCAGCCAGCATGAGCTGCCAAGAGCTGCTGTGAGCGGCCATCCAGTGGCCAGAGACCTATCTGCCTCACCCGGGAAGAGTGCAATGATAATACCAACATGGGCCAGTGAAGCAACATCCTCCACAAAAGACTGAAGAACAAAAGGACAGCAACTTGTCTGCTCCCCTCCCTCAATTTCCCAATAAACTCTTAAAAAGAAAGAAAGAAAGAAAGAAAGAAAGAAATACTGAGTGTTTAATAAGTGCCAAGGGCCTACTTTTTAAAAAAAATTTGAAACAATTCTGATTTTTGGTCCCAGCCTATTGAAAAATAAGGAGAAATTTATTAAAGAATCCAGTACACTTATAATACTTTGCAAATAAATCCAGGCTTCTCTTGCAGATCTTTTACCAAATTTGCCTATAACTTGACTCCTATAGTAGTAACATAAAACCTAAATAAAATAAAAAGCAAACAAAAAAAATGAGGCCTTTAACTGCATCTATTTTCAATTGATATCCTCACTAGCACAAACTGAGAAAAGTGCTTAGACCCAAATTTTCAATAAATATGAAAATGGTTTAATCTTACTAGCAACAAAAGATTTTGTGGGGAAAAAAGTGTTAATCGAGGAATATAAAAAAATACAAGTCAATGCTAGAGAGGGTATTATATTAAGACAGACTCGGGCTGGCCGAGTGGCGCGCTGGGTAAGAGTTGGCTTGGGACGTCAGCTCTGAGCAGCAGGGCCCCGGTTTGGATCCCACATGAGGGCAAGTGACGCTGTGCACTCTACAGCTAAGATGGTGAACAACAGCTTGACCTGGAGCTGGGCTGTCGTGAGTCGCCGGCGAAGGTGTAGGCTGTAGTGAAGCTGAAGTGGGCTGCCATAAGCTACCATGAGTGGCCGTCAAGTGGCCAGAGACCAATCTGCCTCACCCGGGAAGAGTGCAATGATAATACCAACATGGGCCAGTGAAGCGAAGTCCTCAACTAGACTGAAGAATAAAAGGACAGCAACTTGTCTGTTCCCCTTCCCCGACTCCCCAACGCTGTTCCCCTCCCCCAATTCCCCAATAAAATCTTAAAAAAAAAAAAAAGACAGACTCTCACTGCCTGTCAATAAGAATGTAAATTGGTGTTTTGGGGATGCAATTTACATGAAAAGCCTTAAAACAGCCAAATTCAGAAATCAGTCCTAATGAAATACTATGAAATACATATTGTTCACTGTTATTGTAATAAACTGGACCCCCCCCCCCCCCAAATATACATACAATAAGGTATGACTAAATTAAGGCTTATCTATGAAACCATTTAAAGTTACATATCTTGTTCTTACCAACATGGGTAAATGTTTAAATTATAAGTTTCACAAGGACATGGTCCTTAGCCAGCTTGTTTTCACTGTTTTATTCTTAGGGCATAGAATAAGGCCTAGCATATAAATTTTTTTTTAATTAAAAGTTTTTTTAGAATTAAAACTTTATTGTTTTTAGAGCAGTTTTAGGTTCATAGCAAAACTGAGGTGAAGGTAAAGAGATTTCCAATTTACCCCCTGCCCCTACACAGGCATAGCCTCCCCCATTATCAACATCTCCCAGCAGTGGGACATTTGTTACAATTGATGAACCTACATCATTATCACCCAAGGCCCAGTTTACATTAGGATTTATTCCTAGTGTTGTGCATTGTATGGGTTTGGACAATGTATAAAGACATATATCCATCATTATATCATACAGAATATTTTCACAGACCTAAAAAAATCTTCTGTACTCCACCTATTCATTCTTCCTCCCATCTCAACCCCTGGAAACCACTGATATTTTTACTGTCTCCCTAGTTTTGTATTTTCCAGAATATCATGTAGTTGGACTCATACAGTACGGCCTTTTCAGATTGGCTGCTTTCACTTAATAATACGCATTTTAAGTTTCCTCCATGTTTTTCATAGATAGCTCATTTCTCATCCACTGCCTGAATGCACCAATTTATTTATCCACTTACTGAAGGACACCTTAATTGTTTCCAAGTTTTGGCAATTATGAATAAAGTTGCTATAAACTCTTGTGTATAGGTTTTTGTATGGACATGTTTTCAACTCCTTTGGGTAAATAAATATCAAGTAGGGTAATTGTTGGATGGCTTGGTAAGAGTATGTTTAGTTTTATAAGAAACTGCCAAACTAATTGCCTTCCAAAGTGGCTTAACCATTTTACATTCCTACCATTGATAAAAATGAGAGTTTCTGTTGCTCCACATCCTCAGCAACATTTGGTGTTATCAGTGGTCTGGATTTTGGCCATTCTAATACTGTGTACTGCACATAAATTTTAAATAAAGATTTGCTAAATGAATGCAAAAATAATGCTGTGAAAAATATAAAATTGTATAAAATGTGATTTCTGTACAGAAAAAGAACTGGAACAACACACAACTAAATGGGAAAAGAGGTCATGGGCATTTGTAAAAAGCAGCTTTATTGAGGTATAATTTTACGTATCATAAAATTCATCCATTGTATATGTACAGCTCAATTACTTCATTCATACAACTGTGCAATTATCACCATAATCTATTATCATAGTCAATTTTTGTTTTCTCATTCCATCTTTTCTATATGGTAAAGGAGGCCTTATTCTCTGAAAGGCCCCGTCACTGAAAGTTGGGTGGTGTTGAACTATAAAATTATTTTCTAGTCTAAAGATCTGAGTCTACCTCTTCAATTTGACATGTGCCTCTTTTTAGCACAAAGTGGATTTTAAAAGCAGCAGGAAGGTTCTTTGCTGCCGTTAGAAGAAAAACTTCAAGGGTTGCGAAAGTATGATACCCAGATTCTGTTCGGTGTACTGTGGTACACTAAGATCATTATTCTTGGTCCTTCTGCAAATAAAAAGGTTCTACAGAATAATGAGCACAGCCGCAGTTCCCAACGGAAACGTAGGTATTGAACGGAATAAAATGTGAGCAGTTACGTAGTGCTTCTCAATCCTGCTAGTAGACAGTGGAGTACACAAGGTGTGTTCCTCCGGCGACCCACATGGGAAGCTGGCCGCTACAGTCCCTAGGCTGGAGCCATTGATTCTCTGTAAAGCGTCCAGAGAAGGGACCTTCGGAGTATTCACTTAGCTTTCTAAAACAGAGAATCCTTCGGGAAAAAATTGACTGAGATAGGTTAGCACCTAAATACCCTTCACAGCCCGGGCTCCCAGCGTCCCTCCTGTAGCCTCCTACCTGCAGAGAAGCAGAGCAGGAACACTCGGTGCCTCAGGCGGGCCAAGCCTAGCACAGTGGGAGCAAAGAACATGGCTTCATCGTCGGGGTGCGCGATAACCAGGAGGGTACGGCTTTCGCCTCCCAACAGGCCTGCCTGTTCCTGACCCTTCATTCGTTCCAAGTAGTCCCACACCCAGAAGAAGACGGACGCTAGGACCACCACTGCCAAACCCAGAACGCCCACCGCTTCCATGCTCGGTAAGTGGCACTGCGCCTGCGCAATAGGAAAAGGTGCCGCTGACCCTGACTCCCGCGGGAAAACTGCACTCGCGGAAATTGCGTTCCGACTTGAAGTCCATCCTGCCAACACGCTCGGATGGCTTGAGGGTTTAAATGTCGGGTTCCTGTTGTGGTTTTACACTGACGCCTCCCAGCACTTCTTTATCGAGTTCTCTCCACTATGCAGCATTTACGAGGTCTGTACCAGCTTGGTTTCAAAGTTGAACGGAATCCTTTCCCGTCCAGTTTTCTACCCCTGTCCTCACAGTACAATAGGTTTAAAGGGAAGCGTTTCCTAAAATAAACCCCACATCTTGAGTACGGGTACCCTCCTCTTCACCATTTCTTAAAACCCAGGACTTTCTCGTAACTATATAGTTAGCCTCTTATCCGGATGAAGACCGATTGTTTTTCCTGTTTTTGGTTGGGGAGCGGTGGCTTCTCTAAAGGAAAAGTATGCGGTTACGATGAACCGTTCAGTCATTTAATTAGAAGGCTACGGCTGAGAGCGCACTTCGTAGTCGCAAGGGCCACAGGCTCCTGTGCGGAGTGACTTTGAAGACCGACATCATGGACAAATCGGCTTCGCCCGTATTTCAGTGAAGTCTTGGTGTGATTTACAGCCGGGGCCCTGGAAAATATCTTGGGTAGATCGACGTGCACTCCTCCGGCTCCCAGTACGTGGAGACGGGCTTCCCTCCCCGCAAGCCCGGGGACCCAGGAGGCCGCCGCCATCTCGCCGCGCCGCGGAGGGGGTCGCAGGACCCGAGGCATGGCCTTGGGTCCCTCCATTTCCCACGTTCGGGGAAAGGCCCGTAGTGCGGGGCAGTCGGTCGGCTCGCGGGGGGCGCCCCACCTCAGGTGCGCGACCGCAGCGCACTGGTCAGGCACAGAACGGCGCTGCCCCGGCCTGTTTTCGCTTGAGGGGACAGCCGCCGCAGGCCGCGGGGAGACGTGAGCGGACAGGCGCGGGGCAACCCAGGAAGATCAGCCGAGGTAACAGCGCGCTCGGCCAGGAGGAGGGAGTCAGTCCCCCAACCTCCCGGAAGGAGGAGGAGCTGGCGCCGGAGCCGCCTTAGCCGCGGCCGCCAGGGCTGGGGGGAGGGAGAGGGGTTGAGTCAAGATGGCGGCTAAGGTGGCGATGCAGCAGCACCCGCGGCGGCGGTGGCTGGAGTGAGCGCCCAGCTCGCCGAGCCAAGCCAGGTCCCGAGATAGGGACGCGCGCCGGGGCTGCGTCCCGCTCCTCAGGCGCGGGGGCGCGCCAGCTACCACGCTCCGTCAGCTCCTGGTGAGTAGGCCCCGGCGCCCACAGCCCCAGTCTCCCGGCCCCCGCTCTGTCGGGGGCTTCCGCGGGCTCTCAGGGCACCGGCCGCGGGGGCGGCTTGGCGGCCCAGCGAGGGGAGTCGTGGGCCTTGCAGGTCGGGACCCGCCCCAGCTTCCCGGTCTCTTCCCCTCTGCCGCCCAGGACAAGTCGGGCGCGGCGGGGAGCTCTGGCTGGGCGAGTGGAGGAGGTTTATGGAGTTTGGAGGAAGAATGGGCTGCGGCCAGCCTGGGGCCGTCAGAGAGGTGTCCTGTGTGAAGCGAGCTTGCGGAGCCCGGAGGGCGGACCAAGGGAGGCAGAGTGGGCCGGGGGGGGGTGGTGACCCCGGGCGGGGCCGGCACAGGTGGCGGGCCTGGGCTCACTCTGAGGCGGAGTTGGTGGCCGTCTTGGAGTGTAGAAGGGGTTAGGGAGGGTGACAGCGATGGACAAATGCATGAAGAGCAAACTGTTCACCTTTCTAACCAAACCACTCCACAGTGTAATGGCGAAGGGTGAGCAGTGGTGAAGATGGCAAAGATCGGTACCCGGTACATTCCGCCTTTTATTATTGGTGTTTCAATGTGCGAAGTCGGTGAATTCTTTTTTTTGGTATAAGAAGGACTTGAGAAACTATAATTGAGAAATCAGTCTTAATGGAGAGGAGACTGGATTTGTATTCTTCGAATTAACTGGATTTAGGTATAGTTATGTATCAAAGGTGTGGATGGAAATAAGTGATATTTATGAAAAGTCTCAGGAAGTGTCAGTTTTCTTATACTGATGTTGCATGCCACAGTGCCGCTTCAACAGTTAACCTTGGAGAGCAGTGGTATGGGTAATTCTAATCTTTGGGATTAGTGTATTCACCTGTATCAGATTTGTTTCCCTAGTCATATCTTCATTATATTGAAATTTGCATTCCTTGTGTGCACCCTGGTGAAGCAGCGATGGGAGGCAGAACATTGCAAAGAGCAACAGGCCCGGGATTATACAATGCCTACAAATATTCATTCATTTGTTCAACATGTCTTGATCAATAGCTGCTGCTGATGGGTCATGTGTGATTGTCCCTTAGATAACTGAAGAATTGATGACATTATTTAATTTTTAATGGTTTTTCGAAAATGTTTTGACGTACCTTTTCATAAAGATATTTATTGAGTGAACCAATTTGCCTGGGCTCAGGAGAAGACCAATTTAAAAATCTTATTTAGACATGGGTAAAAATTACAGAAGAAATATAGTCAAGTTGTTGGACTTTATTTTCTCATTCTGTTAAAATCCAGCAGAAGTTTGTTTATTTTAATATTTATAGTACACAGTTGCTTTGCCTTGCTTTAAGCACATGTGTTAATGGAAATCAAGGTTAACACACGCATGTATAAATAATATACACATGCATACATAAGGATGTACTCTTTTCTCTTACCAAAGGCCTGCCATATGTGGGACTACTTCCCTGGAGAAAATATGATAGAAAGAGTCCTGATTCTTCCTTTAACTATGTGACAGTCTGGAACATGATCGACCTTTCTGTGCTTCAGTTTCCTCACCTGTGATAATGGGAAAACACCTACTCTCCTAGGGTTGGCTGTTGTGAGCTAATAGTTATGAAATTAAACAGATTGAAAAGGTTATATTTCTGTGAGGTAGTAACAGCTCCCTCTGCACTTGTGAAATGCTTTATTTGAATATCTCTCATGGTATTTACACTTTCTGCTTTGTATTTAGGTTTTTTATTTTTTACATAACCTGTTTTATCTCTTGAGGGCAGGATAGACCCTTCTCTGCTTTTATCTTTTAAGGCACCATGTAGGATTTTATTTTCTGTGTAGGACATTGACATTGCAAATATTTGTTGAATAAATATTGTATTCTAATTTAGAAAAATATATTCTCATTACAACTTACCCGAATATACTTGTTATTTGTCTGCTGTGACATATATATATATATAGCCATAGATTCTCTCAATGGCCTCTGAAGAATATATGTTTTAACTGGATGTCTTGTTGTGTTTCACCATATAGTGAAACATAAGTATTTGACCTGCCCACATAATTAAAAAAAAACAACACAAAATGCTCAAAATTAACTTATGTTTTTTTGAATTTTAATTGAGTAAAAGTTTGTTTCAAAGCTAGGCAAATTTAGATTAGTCAAGTTTTTTTTTTTAATTTGTGAAGTGACGAGGTTTTCTTGTCATTGCTATCTGTGGTTGAAAACAAAGGCCTTTGAATAGGCCAGGGATCAATAGGTAAATGTCGGTGTATTTGTTACTCCGTTTTTGTGTTTGTTTTGTTATTCAGTTTTTGGGTTTTTTTTTTAAGATTTTATTGAGGAATTGGGGGAGGGGAACAGCGCGGGGGAATCAGGGGAAGGGAAACAGACAAGTTGCTGTCCTTTTGTTCTTCAGTCTAGTTGTGGAGGATGTGGCTTCACTGGCCCACGTTGGCACCATCATTGCGCTCTTCCAGGGCGAGGCAGATCAGTCGCCGGCTTCTGGACGGCCGCTCAAGCTGGCTGCCGGCTACACACGGTAGCTTATGGCAGCCCACTGCAGCAGGGGACTGCAGCCTACGCAGTCGCTGGTGACCCACAGCAGCCCAGCCCCAGGTCGAGCTGCTGTTCAGCATCTTAGCTGCAGAGGGCAGTGTCACTGGGCCTCATATGTGGGATCCGTACCGGAGCCCTCTGGCATCCCAAGCCAGTTCTTAACCAACGCGCCACTCGGCCAGCCCTGTTATTCAATTTTAATTGTATTTTGTGATCTGTCTTACAATTTCATTTTTTTATTTTTTAAAGATTTTATTAGGGAATTGGGGGAGGTGAACAGCATTGGGGAATGGCGAAGGGGAACACTTTTATGTCCTTTTGTTCTTCAGTCTAGCTGTGGAGGACGTCGCTTCACTGGCCCACGTTGGTATTATCATTGTGCTCTTCCCGGGTGAGGCAGATCAGTCGCTGGCCATTGGACGGCTGCTCACGGTGGCTCACGGCAGCTCATGAAAGCTCACGAAAGCTCACGCCTGCTGCCGGCCAGCCCCACTGTAGCCTACGCCATCGCCAGCAACCCACGGCAGCCTAGCTCCAGGTCGGGCTGTTGTTCACCATCTTAGCTGTAGAAGGCGCAGCGTCACTGGCCCTTCATGTGGGATCTGAACCCCGGGCCCTGCTGCTCAGAGCTGGCATCCCAAGCCAACTCTTAACCAGTGTGCCACTCGGCCGGCCCCAATTTCATATTCTTATTGATGCCTGGAAATGATAGAAGTCTTGTATATTTAGTTCCTCCCATCTGTTCTTTTACTTCAGATATTGTATTTTACTAGAATATGGTACAAAGTAGTAAAAGTTGATCATTTATTATGTGTGGACTTACTTGTTGATTAGAAAGATAAGAGATTTATGTATAGTTCGTTCACTTGTTCAACTGGTGCCTTTATGTTCACAGCACATTACAAATGCTATAAAGGTATAAAGTTGAGCAGATTAATATGTGCACAAATTGCTCACTCTGTAGATTGCCTGATATTTTGTCCTTTTCAAGTTTGAGGATGCAAGAAGTACATTTAGATAGATGGTTAAGAAAACATTTTGTTTGTTTCTTTTTCTGTCAGGACTTATTAGGAGTATTGAAAAGCTTCTGTCATGTAGCAGTAACTGTATGTAGAGCATCTGTTTTTTATTTTGGTATTCTTGTGGTTTTCCTTGAACATTTTTACTATTTTACTACCATTTTTTTCTGCTGCAGAAGTGTATGTGGTCAAAATATTACTTGGATAGTCTTCAGATACAACATTTTTTTTTTCTGGGTTCTCTTTGCATTTGAAGGTGAGACTGTACAAAGCAATGTTAATGTTTCTGTGGAGTTCTTCAGTTTGACTCTTCCACATGTGCTGTTACTTTTACTGAAAAGCAGTCTCAAAAACAAATCTAAATTGGTTAAAATAAAATGCTAATAATTTATAGAATTATACAATGTACAGTCATATAGGTTATCTGCAGATGCTTCTCGATTATCCTTGGTGAGGTTACGGCCTGATAAACCCATCCTAAGTTGAAAATATGGTAAGTTGAAAATGCAGTGAGTACACCTGACCTTCTAAACTTCATAGCCTAGCCTACCTTAAACACATGCCCAGAACACTTACATTAGGCTACAGTTGGGCAGTTATCTTGAATTTTGTCTCAAGAGTAATTGCCTTCTTCTTCTCACCAGAAGCAGGAGACACAGATGGGCATTTTGTAGACATGACGGGATGGGAAAACTCATAACACAATATCCAAATAACACTGGCAACACAGTACACTGTATAGAGTATCAGCTGTTTACCATCTTGTTTGCGTGCCTGACTGGGAGCTGCTGCTCACTGCTGCTGAGGCTCACTGCTGCTGACCAGCATCACAAGAGACTATAGTACATAGTGTGTATCACTTCACTAGCCCAGGAAAAGATCAACATTTGAAGTATGGTTTCTACTGAATGCCTCTCACTTCTGCACTATAGCAGAGTAGAAAAAAGTCGAGAGTCAAACGAATGTAAGTTGGGGACTGTCTGTAGTCTTCACTTGTTTTACAGGTGAATAAACTGAGGGTCACAGAAATGATCTGCCTAAATTGTTGTAATTGGGCACTAACAGAATCGAATTTTCGGACATCCAGTGTAGTGCACATACCATTATACCATATCATCCATGGGATGCATCAATGTGATGACTGACAGTTACTTAAAACAAAAATTGGGGTGGATGAAGAATCACAGATTATTTATTCAGATTAGGTATTGAATTTAAGGTATTTCTTTTTTTCTTTTTTAAGGATTTTTATTGGGGAATTGGGGAATGGGAACAGCGCTGGGGAATTGGGGGAAGGGGAACAGACAAGTTGCTGTCCTTTTGTTCTTCAGCCTAGTTGTGGAGGACGTTGCTTCACTGGTCCAAGTTGGCACTATCATTGCGCTCTTCCCGGGCGAGGCAGATCAGTCGCCT